GGGTCACTATCGGTTTGTAAAAGTGATAAGAAAAATAGCTGTGGAAAGAGTCAATTTGAGAAGTTTCAAGGAGGAGGTTAACCATGGCTCGTACCTAAAGTCAGAAAAAGAAAATATTCTTTTGCTATATATGCAAGAGAAATGAAAAACCAAATAAATGAAAAACCCATTTATAAATAAAAGAAATAAGATGGTTAAAACATGTTTCCTTGTTAGAAGTAATTTGTGTACGAGCAAAAATCAATAGCTAACCATCAATCTTTCTTACATATATTAATAGGTAAAACACTAACACATATCCCAAAATATTTAGAACACTTATAATAAAACAAAATTAGCCAGTGCATGTTACGTAAGGTCAAATCATTAGGACAATATCCACGTGAGGACCCCAGAGTGAGCAGGGTTGGTTGTGTAAAAATTCACCACTAGCTCCTGTGATCATAACAAGTAGTTATCAACATCTTTGATGGTTTTTTTTACTTGTTAATGATAATTTTGTTTTTTAAAAACTAATGATCACCTCATAAAATACATTACTTTACTACGTGTAAAACAAAAAATATTACTTCCCTGTTATATTTATCTTTCTCAACAAAAAAAATAAAGGTGCCTCATGTATTTTTATCTTTCATTATTCACACCACTGATTTTAGTCCCTTTCCTACGTGTTTCTTCTATCACTACACAATTTGTTGTCTTTTTTTTTTCTTCCATGAATAGAAATCCGAATTTCCCTGAACATCTCAAATCTATTGAGGAAAAACATTAGTCTAAACCCTATAAATTAATTGAGAGCAAAGCTTGACAACAGCATCCAATTTATCTTATACTATAGAAAGCCAATGTCTAAAGTAGCATCAGTTCCCGTCTTCGCCCAGGATGCCAAACCCAACTCTAACATCACTCGACACACTGCAACTTTTCATCCTTCCATTTGGGGAGATTATTTCCTTTCATATGTTCCTACTTTTTCGGTAAGTGCATACCATTACCTTACAACTCAACTAACATTCATTTACACATAATATCCATACATATATCGTATTGTAAGATGATATCATAATTTATATTATATTTATCATTTATTTAAGCATAGAGTTAAATAATGTTAGACATAAGAGAGTTTATTGAAAAAAACTGAAATCTTACATTAACTAGAAATAAAACTAAAATAAAGTATATAATTATGGACAACCACGCTTATCTTACAATTTAATTTTGTAAGTTTGAGTTAGACTTAATCTCTCATTCTAAGAAATAATAAAATAAGAAAGTTAAATAAAATAATTCTATGTAATTTTATATTCAACAGTGATTTGTACCTCTCCCATGCTTCACATAATGGCTCATCTGCACCTTGAGCAAAAGTAGCAATAGCAGTTCTAGCTTTAGTGTTCTTGGACGTGGGAAAGAACCTGGCTAAGAATTTAGTCTCCACATCCCTCTAAGTAGTTAGGCTTTGGTTTGGCTGAGAATGAAGTCAAGCCTTAGCCTTCCCATTCAGAGAGAATGGAAACAACCTCATGAACAATGCCTCTTCATCAGCCCCTGAAACTCCAACTGAACCACACAACTCATAGAAAGTGTAGAGATGAGTATGTGGGTCTTCATGATCCAGGCCAAAAAATTGATGAGAGCTAATAAGCTGTAGGAGTGCAGGCTTCATTTCTGCTAGTCTGTCATTCATTGTGGGCCTCACAATGCTAGAGAATTCCCTCGGGCTAGTGTAGGTGAAAGCATCACCTATAGTGCGCCTCCGGTTTGGATTTTCATTGTGAGCACCACCTTCACCTCCACCTTCCATAATGAACTCAGGAATAGTAGAGACAAAAACTTCAAGAATCTGAGTGGTTGGTTGGCCAACTCCTGTTGCTATTATTCCTCCTTCTCCTCCTATTACTATTATTCCTCCTTGTCGTGCGTTCAATCTCAGGATCGTTCAACAACGGCTCAGAAGAAGTAGTACCTCTGGTTCGAATGGTACCTTGCATGCAAGAGAAAATAAAAGACTAGAGTGCACAAGTCAGCTCAAAGAATTCATTAGCTAAATTTGAAACTAACAATAACAGTAAAGGAACAAGTCACAAATAGCTATAAATACTACATTGCCTTACTAATCCCCGGCAACGGTGCCAAAAACTTGTTGAAATTTCCGTTGAAACTACTTTTATTATCATTGTAAATCATTTTAATTATATCAACAGACTCAAACACGGCAAGTATACCAGCCGTTCAAGTAGTAAATTATATCGTATCCACAAGGACTAATAGGTAAAATAAGCATTTATTGACTATTCGTGACTAAAGAATAATTCCAATTTCATAATTTGTCATGCATAGTTGAATTAAAGATTATGACTATTGGAATGTTAAACTATAAAAGTATTTGTTTTGTGTGTGGAGAAGGGTAGAAATGGTATTATGGTTTTGTGAGATTGTGGGGTCAGATATCACCAAACTACACACTGATGAATCTTTAATCTCTTGTTACATTCATTGATTAGTCAACCCATAAGTTTACTCAAACCTAATCCCTTAGAGCAAGAGCCTAGGTGCAAGTAGTAAATATCAATTCCTTGAGTATCCAATACCTACACCCGCATTACAGGTTAGGGTTTAAGACTACTAATGGGCCAAACTTCATTCCTAGATACATTTCCCACTAGACATTTGTTTCAGAGCTAGTTTCAATGGTTATTTTCCAATACCCAATGGAACCTATATCAAGCAAAGGAGGATCAATCCAAAGCAAGTATTAAGAATAGAAACATACGCAACAATGAATGAAACAACACATATATATATATCATTAAAAACGTAAAGATTACATAAGTATTTCGTTGGTTACATCTAACCCCACAAAATAATGGGTAAAACCGCTCAAAACAATGAGGGTGAAACAAAAATAGAGATGGAAGAGAGAATGAAGAACCGAAGGAAAGACCCACACACGAATGGTCCCAAGCTCCGGGAATCCCTTCCTCAGCTCCTAGAATGCGTCCAATGTGTGAATGAGGTGAAAGACCTCGAAAATTTGCTGAAATACGAGCTTGGGGAGTCAGATTAGGATTACACGCCTGGCACATTAGTCTTTGCACCCGGCGCAGGGCCTTCCAGAGAGTTTAGTTACTGTCTGCCTCAAGAGACGCCCAGCAAAATTAGTTTTAAGCTGGCGCTATGTCTTCCAGAGAGTTTGAGTTGCTCTCTGTTTCGATCACGCCCAGCGCGGGTAGTCTTGCGCCCGGCGCAGTTACTCTTCTCTTGCTCATTAGCTCCTTTAATTTCCAATCCAATGGGTCTTCAACTTTCAACTCTTCCCTCGATACCTGCACAAAAAATGAGGTGTATCAAAGTATTGTTAGATGAAATTGGGTTAACTATATCTGCACAAAAATTGAATCAAAAAGAGGACAATTATCTTGCAATGGTGCATAAGATGAGTGGAATTGTTCAATAAGTCTTGTCCAAAAAGAAGTATAATTTAGACTTAACACATATCATTTTTGTTATTTCCAAAATTAAATTTCAATAACTTTTTAAAACATAATTGATAGTTAAAAATAATATTATATCACAGTATAATTTTTTATAGTATAATTTAAATTATTAAAATATTCATTTATTATAAATTTGAATTACAATATAATTTATATATTAAAAATATTTATTATTATAATTTAGTTACATGAAATAAAAATATATCTTATGTATTGTCTAAATTAAAATACTAGTTATTAATAAAATAGAAAAAATATTTTAATATTATAAAATAACTAATTAAAATTTTAATATTTGAATGGTATTATTAAATATTAAAAATTATTCACAAAAATAATATTAAAATCATTACACTTAATTTATACGTTATAATTTTAATTAATTGTTGGCCCCTCTAAATTTTATTGTCAAGCTCCTATATCCACATCTACCCATGCCATTATTAAAGGAAACACATTTTAATTACATCATATGTTTGCTAAATGATTTTTTCAAACGTGTGGCCAAGAGTAAAACTTCTGAGGTGAAACTCATCCACTATAAATAGGCACGTTTGAATTATGCATCAAAATGACATGCTACATTATATGTTGTGAATGAGACGAATTAAAGAGGAAAATAAACTAAGAAAATGACAACCATTGTAAATTAAATATATGATTTCATTAATTTGCAAACATAGACCCTACATATCCTCACTTATGTAACAAATATGTGTGTGCGTTTCCAAATCGTGTGGCCTGGAGTTCTGATGTGAGACACCTCATCCACTGCTATCACATGAGATAGTGGTCTACATCAAAACTGATAAGTTTGGATCAAATTTTCATGCTACGTTATATAGATCACAAGGGTCACTATCGGTTTGTAAAAGTGATAAGAAAAATAGCTGTGGAAAGAGTCAATTTGAGAAGTTTCAAGGAGGTGGTTAACCATGGCTCGTACCTAAAGTCAGAAAAAGAAAATATTCTTTTGCTATATATGCAAGAGAAATGAAAAACCAAATAAATGAAAAACCCATTTATAAATAAAAGAAATAAGATGGTTAAAACATGTTTCCTTGTTAGAAGTAATTTGTGTACGAGCAAAAATTAATAGCTAACCATCAATCTTTCTTACATATATTAATAGGTAAAACACTAACACATATCCCAAAATATTTAGAACACTTATAATAAAACAAAATTAGCCAGTGCATGTTACGTAAGGTCAAATCATTAGGACAATATCCACGTGAGGACCCCAGAGTGAGCAGGGTTGGTTGTGTAAAAATTCACCACTAGCTCCTGTGATCATAACAAGTAGTTATCAACATCTTTGATGGTTTTTTTTACTTGTTAATGATAATTTTGTTTTTTAAAAACTAATGATCACCTCATAAAATACATTACTTTACTACGTGTAAAACAAAAAATATTACTTCCCTGTTATATTTATCTTTCTCAACAAAAAAAATAAAGGTGCCTCATGTATTTTTATCTTTCATTATTCACACCACTGATTTTAGTCCCTTTCCTACGTGTTTCTTCTATCACTACACAATTTGTTGTCTTTTTTTTTTCTTCCATGAATAGAAATCCGAATTTCCCTGAACATCTCAAATCTATTGAGGAAAAACATTAGTCTAAACCCTATAAATTAATTGAGAGCAAAGCTTGACAACAGCATCCAATTTATCTTATACTATAGAAAGCCAATGTCTAAAGTAGCATCAGTTCCCGTCTTCGCCCAGGATGCCAAACCCAACTCTAACATCACTCGACACACTGCAACTTTTCATCCTTCCATTTGGGGAGATTATTTCCTTTCATATGTTCCTACTTTTTCGGTAAGTGCATACCATTACCTTACAACTCAACTAACATTCATTTACACATAATATCCATACATATCTCGTATTGTAAGATGATATCATAATTTATATTATATTTATCATTTATTTAGGCATAAAGTCAAATAGTATTAGACATAAGAGAATTTATCGAAAAAAAATTCAAGTCTTACATTAATTAGAGAAAAATTAAGATAAAGTATATAATTATGGACAGCCACCCTTATCTTACAATCTAATTTTATAAGTTTGAGTTGTTGAGCTTACTCTTTCATTCTAAGAAATAATAAAATAGAAAAGTTAAATAAAATAAGTTTATATAAATTTATTTAATTATTTTTATCTTCTTATTTTGTTTTCTTAAGAAAAAATTTGGATTCATTTACTTTTTTTATAGTCAAAAAGAGAATATTTATAACATATATAAAGACGATAATCTGATTTGATATATATTATTCAAATCTAAAACATTAAAGTTTGATGACGAAACACATTAATAGAAATTTTTCTTTTGAAAGAAAAGGGAAAGCCTCGAAAGAACACTATAGAACCCCGAGGAAATACATCAATAGTTACACAAACCAAATTGACATTAGAAACAAAGGTCTACTATACAAAACAAAGAGTTTTTAGCAATATTTGTAAAATGTTACTTAATTATGTATAAATGTTACTAATTTGTTTTGGCAACATATTATCAAATGTGTTGTATATAGTTTATGTTGCTAAAGATTTTTAATAATATTTTTACATAATCAGACAATATTTTTCAAATATTACCAAAGTAGTATTTTTGTAAGATTTTAACGATGTTACTAAGTTTTTGTTAACTTTATAAATGATAATTAATTTTAATTTAAACATTACTATCAATTATTATATTTTTATGTCTCCTAAACTCCTAGGAGTTTTTTTAAGAGAATATTAAAGATATTCTTAATTAGTCAATACTAATTATATATCAAATATCAAAGTTCATTTATCTTAAGTATAACTATATGATTATATATATACTTTATGAGTTATTCATTTATTCGATGTGAAACTTTAATTATGGATAACAATTAGAAATGAGAGAAATATACTTTTTTTACTTGATGTGAGACTTTAATTTTAGAAGCAATTATAGTAATATTTTTCAAAAAAATGTTGTAAAATAACCTATGTAACATTTTTTTTACTCAATATGAGACTAATTTTGAAAGCAATTCGAAAGAAAAATATTAAAATAAAAAATTTTACTTTATCTATGACATTTTCAAAATTTTTTTTTGTAAAATAACCTATTTATTGAATATATGGTAACATTTTAACAAATATAAGAAAAAAAAATGTTGCTAAAAAATTAAAATGTAGTAATGGCCAGAACATAGTCGGAAACTCTCATATAACAATCTTCAACTTGATTAGACTAGGAAAATTGACTTATAGTGGTGAATATGATTTGTCACAAAAAATTGAAAATTTGTAAAGTAAACATATATTTTACATTTATTTACGACTTTTTGGCCATTCTAAATTCAAAGAAAATAAAAATACTAAAAATAAAAATTTTAAAAACTTATTTATCAAAATAAATAATTTGTGCCAACGTGTGACAGTGGATAAAAGAAAACATCTCTAGGAGTGACGTTTTATGAATATAAATTTTTTTGAATAGAAAACGTTCAAGGGGAAGGTGTTTTCCGTTAAATTTTTTTTTGAACAAAAAGTGCTTAGGGTAGACATTTTCTATTAAAAAAAATTACCCTAAGAATGCTTATAATTTAATTTAATATTTAGTTTTAAAAATTATATTTATTTTTTGTATTATTAAATTTTAAATCTAAATTAACAATTTAAATTTTAAAAAAATTAAATTGACTTATTCAAACAAAATATTTTAAGAATGATAGAAATTGAAATCAAAGTAATTCAAATACCAAGAATTTCAAATTCCTTGAATTTATAAAATTTCTCATCCAACCACACCATAAAAGGAAAAGGAAGAGAAGAAAAGATAAATAAAGAATAAAAACTTTTAACTTTAATATTAAGGAAAATATGAAAATAGAGAAAAAAATTTTGAGTATGTGCTATAAAGACATTTAATTCCTAGTAAATTAGTTATATAATCTCCGTCCTTGTATAACTAATTTTCAACTTGGTTATAAGGTTAAATACATAGAACCTTTTTAACTAATTTAATTTATAATTTAAAGAAAATTAGTTATCTTAATAAATAACAGTAAATTTGTTCCCAAAGTCAATTATTTTTTATAAATTATTCTTTAAAAATAATCATCCTTACTTCCTGTTAAGACGTAAGTAAAGTCTCACATCGTTCAAATAAGAGGATAGACATGATTTATATACACACAGTTGTCTCTATTAATAGAGAGACTTTTTCAGTAATGTCTAAAAGTAAAATCATGAAGACTTGAACCCAAAGCAAACAATATCTTACCAATGTAAAAACATGTGTACTTGCTGAAAGAACTTGACATCACTCGCTACCTTCTTCAACTCTGTAAGCACTGTGTCCTGAAGAGGATCACCCTTCTGCTTCTGGCTATGCCCATTCATGCCTTCCTTGTTCTTCCAATTCATCTAAATCACTTTTTTTCTCAATACACTTGTGGAGTACGAAGGACAGTAGCCAATATATAGTACCATTTTTTTTTTCAAATTTTCGTACACAGTGGAAATTACTTTTTTTATTTTTAATAAAGTCAAGTATACTAATTATTGTTAGTGATAAATTAGAGAGAGTTCATCAAATTTGAATTATAATTGTTTAATTTAATTTTAGCAATAAATTAATTATTTAAAAAAATTATAATTATTTAAAAAAATATTAAATTTAGTGAAAATAAAATAAAATAATAAATTATGAAGATTTAAATTTATAAAAAGAATAATCAAAAATTGATCATTAACTTTTTTTATGTAAATTATCTTAAATTTTTATTGATGTTTAAATTATACAATTAATTTGATAATTTTTAATTATATTTAAACTCTAATTCTTTGGATAAGAATTTTAGTTTGTTTAAGAAAAATTACAATCTCTTAATAATTTTTGTTAAACAACTTACATTAAGGTCAGGGATAAAAAATCGACTGATAAAATTTATCTTATTTCTATTAATAAATGATCAATATTTTATTTAGGTTGTAATTATAAAAGAGTTTCTCAACTTCGATTAAAATTATAAAATCAAATAGAAGTTGATCACGCTACAATAACAAGCATTAAGCAAAAAAAGTAAAAATAAAAAAAATTGAATAAATACTTTATTAAATGAAAAATACAGAGAATTTACATAGGTTTGGTAGCTATACCTCAATCTTCAACAATAAAAAATTTAACAATTCAGAACAAATGATTACATAAAAGAAGAGAAATACATGTAATTACAATAACACTCTTATAAAAATTCTTTTTAATCGCTTTAAAATTATATTCAGAAAAGTATTGATATAAAAACCTCCTAGAAACTCTATTTTATAACATTTTATAATGGACTTTTAGGTTATGTATGCTGGGTTAGAGTGTCCATGCAATTCCTCTTAAATGAGCTTGGGCAATCTTTTACGAACATTTTATGTTCTATTAAATTATTTTAAAAAATATTAATTTTTTTTATAATTTTAATTTATTATATTATTTTGTTAAGTTAAAAATGTGATGTTTTTTTATCTTAGTATATTTAATTTTATTTATAAACAATTATGTTATTCAATTTTTATTATTTTATATATTATGACATGCAAGTGTCACAAATTACATGAATTAAAAAAAAATGCAAGCTATACATTCTAAAAAGGCCTAAAAAAATCAATTAAAACATATTTTGCTATATATTTTAATATAATAAATTATTTTTATTTAATTATTTAAATTGAATCTGAGCTTTTTAAGATTGAAATTAACTACTGTATAATACATAGACATATTTATCGTATATAATTAAAATTTATAATAAATTATACATATAAATAATTATTATATTTGAATATATAAATTATATTTAAAAATAGTATATATAAATATTTTTAAGTATATAAATTATATTTTAAGATTTATAATAAATAAATAATTTAATTTATAAACTATATTATATTTTAAACAAATATTTTTTACTGTATAAATTATATTTTATAGTCATGATAAATAATTTTGAATTTAATATAAAATTCTCACCGATAAATATTATGAACAAAGATGCTTTAAAAATCATTCTGCGATTAAAGTGTTTTTATTTATTTATTTTTTCTTCTTTTGAGAATGTTTTAATGATTATTTTTTATTCTTTTATATCTTTTAATTTATAAGTTTCTATTTTTAAAATAAAATTAATTTTATACCATAATATAAATTATTTATTATAAATTTAAGATATAATTTATATGATTAAAATATTTGTTATTTAAAATTTAAGAACGGGCCGTTCCAAACCCCAAAAATGGGCCGTTCTGGAGGGAGTACGGGCCGTTCTGGATAGAGAACGAGCCGTTCTGGATGAGTCCCAGAACAGGCCGTGTATATATTTAAGATAATATTTATAATTTTATTTAATTTTAGTATTTAATATATTATGAATGTGGTAAATTTCTTATTGAATCAGATAAAATGGAACCGATTTGTATACATTTTGTAATATCTCATCAATTTTTCTTACTTTACTTAGATGTATGATAATGTATCATCATTTCTCAACATAGTAACTCATTTGAAAATGTAAAAACTAAGAAGTAATAATCTCTTCTAAATTTTGCATCCGCATATTGATGTATCCATTTGCATGTTTATAAACTTATTTTATTTGCAACTAGAGTGAAACTTCTTTAATATAATTTTTGTGATTCTAGACATAATCATATCAGGTAATAGAAACAGTAGATTAACTTGATTGTTAGTAGATTAACTAGTTTTTCAAAATCAATCATAATACATTAAATACTTAAATAAAATAAAATTATAAATATTATCTTAAATCTACACATATAATAAAATTAATATTTAAATTTATAAATTTAAAATATAATAATACAAAAAGTAAATATAATTTTTAAATTAAATTACAATTTAAACATTCTATTCATCCATTCACCCATTATTTAAGTTATATAACAACTCAACTTTATAAATTTTATATACAAGAAAGGTTTCAAATTTCGGCCCCATCATGGATTGGGGTCGCAATATTGCATACCACAATTGCGGTGTGATCGAAAATGACTACTTTTTCCACAACCACAACCCGCGCAACCACAGAAATCGCAAAAACGTGGGGTTCTTTGGGTTTTAAACTTTTATTAAAAATAAAAATAACTTGTTTTTATCCATCATCATCACATCTATAAGGAGACAAAATTATAATTAAAAAAATCAAGAAAGAATACATAAAATGAGAACAAAAATAAACAGTGCCTAACTGAGACCCTTAGCATAACTGTCGAGTATAACGTGCGTCTATAGTAAGATGATGCTTCCTTTTTAACTTAGTGACTGATGCTAAAGTTTCTATTTCCTGACTTGATTTATTGAATAGGTCAAAGTCATTAAAATGTTTCATATATTAGACTTTTCTTAACTATGCAGGAAGGTGACATCAACATGAAACAACTTCAACTATTAAGAGAGGACGTGAGGAAGATGATTGTTTCTCCTATTGATATCAATATTAATTTATCTTTTAAATTAAACATTATCAATGCAGTCCAACGCTTGGGTGTTTCTTACCATTTTGAACACGAAATTGATGAAGCATTGCATCAAATTTACAACATTTCAACGAAGGACAATAATATAACAATTGTCGATGATGATCTTCATTTTCTAGCTTTACTTTTTCGATTGCTGAGACAGCAAGGTTATCGCATTTCATCAGGTATGCTATGATAAGCATTGCACCAAATTTTCATTTCAACGAGCAATAATATATCATAACTCACCAATGACCATGATGATCTTAAAGTCCTCATTCGTTTTTGCACTTTCGGATACATAGGTGTTAGGGACATTACATTAGGTATAACTCAGTCGTAATCAAGTTGGTTTGAAACATAACATTAGGTAAGGTATATATTTACATTTTTTAAATAAAAAACTTTCAAAAAGAAAAAAAAAATGAAGATTTATGATATTTGGAATGATTATGGCTAACTAGAACTTGTAGTGATATGGAGCATGCCGTCGACCATGACAGACCACTGGTATGCTGAGAAAGATCGTGATGAAATTTTCCTTGGTTTTCTCTTGTTTTAGAATAAAAGATGAGAATCACACACTGAATATCTAATAGAATGAATGATCTCTCAAATTATTGAATCGTGAAATTATTTCGGGTTAGGTTGGCTGAATTTTCTCGATTTTGAAAATTTTCGTACATTCCTAGCTAAAATATCATAAATAATATAGTTTAGCTAAAATATCCAACTCTTAATAAGTTGACCTTAATTGATCATAATGTAAATTTCTTCCATTCTTGTGCCTCACTTATAAAAAAAAAATTCAAGTATTTAAAGATTTGTAGTGGAAATTACATTTTCAACACTCATTCAAAAAAACTAATTTTTCTGTTGATTGTCTCTCCAAATTGGGTTCTTTTTGTCAATTAAATTTTATTTGTTGGATTCATGTCCGTCTTTAGTGATGCCTTTGTTATGGTGGATGTTGTAGTCTATTTATTATCTGATGCAAAATACATCCTAAATGTACGAATCAATTGTTCAAATTTAATTAAATGTGCATTGAACTAATTGTATGATAGAATCAGCTATAATCATTAATTGTATATATTTAATACATACCATGGAATTTAACACATGTTATTTGTTAACTGAATAGACGTCTTTCGCAAATTCAAGGACCAATCTGGAAACTTCAATGAAAGGTTAGCCAATGTTATACAAGGAATGTTGAGCTTGTATGAAGCTGCCCAACTAAGATTACAAGGAGAAGAGATACTCGAAGAAGCACATAACTTCACTCTCATTCAGTTAAATAAGTCAGTAACCAGCCTATTAAGTCCTTTTCTTGCAGCACAAGTGCACCATAGCTTAGGACAATCACTTCGCAAGGGAATGCCTAGGTTGGAGGCAAAATATTATATTTCTTTCTACCAAGAAGATCCCTCCCACGATGAAAAGTTGTTAACATTTGCAAAACTAGATTTTAATATGTTGCAGGAGCTACATCAAGAAGAAGTCAGTAGTATGACCAAGTAACATGCATCTTCCTCAAAACTATGATATTTCATTAAATGATTAAAGTGGAATAAATAAATCGAAATCCAAGACCCCTTTCAAAAATTAATTTTAGATTTTGTGTTCAGGTGGTGGATTCAAGATTTGAATGTTTCAACAAATATGCCTTTTGCACGGGATAGGATTGTAGAAAGTTGCTTTTGGATTTTAGGGGTCTACTTTGAGCCACAACATTCTCTTGCTAGAAGGATAATGATTAAAGTAATTGCTATATCATCCATCATTGACGATATGTATGATGCTTATGGAACCATTGATGAGCTAGAGCTTTTCACCAATGCAATAGAGAGGTTAGTCACATCAACATGACATATATTTTCATTCTAGTTCTTCAAATAAAAATAAAGTCAACCTTCTAATGACTAGCAGGTGGGATATTTGCGCTTTGGTTGATCTCCCAGAATACATGAAATTATGTTATGCGTCCCTTTTGGAAGTTTTTGAAGAAATAGAGCAAGAGTTGAGAAAACAAGGGAAAGCACACTTCGTCAAATATGCTAAGAAAGAAGTATGATTTACCATTAGACTTTTCTTGTCACTATATTTTGCCTCTCAAAATGATAAGTACATTTTATTTTCTAATTAATTAATGTGGCTAATTTTGAATTGTTTGAAAGACTTTAGAAAATGATTTTTTTTGCTATGTACAATCAATGGTGCACAAAAATAGATTCACTTTTTCAAGTGGTCTCACCAATCTTGTATGTGGACCAAAATTCATACAAAATTCAAATTCACACTAGTTTCGAATGGTACAGTTTCTTAAACGTGGAATCGCTAATTTTCATATAAATACTGAGACTAACAATAGATGAGACGTGGTTCAATTTGAGCTAGAGAATGAAAATCAAGCAATTCACATTTTGTTAATTACAACAATCTCATCTTTTAGATCATGGTAAATTACATCCTCTAATAAAATATTTTTGCTAGTTAGAAAAATTAAATAAAAGAAATGTATTCTTTGCCCATTAAAAGTTGTTATTGATTATGACTTGAATTTAAAGCCTTTAACTCAAACCCTAATTTTCATCTATTCCTAAAATACAATCATTTGAGATACCCTTGTGTTAAAAAATCTTCTTAAAACAATCAAAATTATGGAACATAACTCTTAGTGTCATATTTGTATTTTAACTCTAGGTGAAAAGACTAGTCCAAGCATACATAACTGAGGCAAGATGGTTTCATTACAATCATAAACCGACAGTAGAAGAGTACATGAAAGTTGCAACTATGTCATGTGGGTTTTCTATGCTCACAACCGTATCTTTCCTTGGTATGGAAGATACAACAGAGGAGGTCCTCAAATGGGCAACCAGTGACCCAAAAATAGTTGTAGCTGCTTCAACTCTTTGTAGGCTCATGGATGACATTGTTGGAAGTGAGGTACAAACATGACACCAATTGTTATTACTATTTTTTTAATGCATTAATTATGTCATATTTGGTGAATTTTATTTGTCGAAAAAAGAAGATAATATTGCTCGTATCCAAATACTAGAGCCACTGGGTTTAAAATATGAAGCACATGGAGCCATTTGGTTTTAAAATATGGATGAAACATTTGATTTGCCATTTGGTAAAACAGTCACTCATTCAAAAAAATTTAAGTCTCGGAAAAAAAAAAAAGACAAATAATAATTTTGCTAACTATTAAATAAAAAAATAAAATTGTCATTAGGATTCATTTTAATTTTCTTCTATTGTATTTATGTAGTTTGAGCAAAAAAGAGGACACGTTGTCTCATGCCTAGAATGTTATATGAAGCAACACAATGCATCAAGACAAGATGCCATTGAAGAACTACTTAAGGAGGTTGAGAGAGCTTGGAAGGACATTAATGAGGAATGCCTTAATCCAACTCAAGTACCAATGACTTTTCTTATCCGTGTTGTCAACCTTGCGCGGATGATGGATGTGCTTTACAAAGAAGAAGATAGTTATACAAATGCGGGGGGAATAATGAAAGATTACATCAAAGCTTTACTGGTTAATAAGATATAAGCTACTCTTTATTATATTTTGGGTCAAAAATACTTTTTATTATTATATTAGGAAAAAATATTTTGTATTGTATATTTATTTATTTAATTATTTTGAGAAAAACAGAACGGGTCAGAAAGAGAAACGGATTGGTTGATTTGGCCCAATTGATTATTTTAAGAAAGAGATCTAACTCTATCTACATCATTTTGTGTTTTAAAGGATCAGGAGAGAAAGTCAATATATTAATAATTAATAACATGGATTACTATATTAATATTTTAGTTAAAACTAATAAATAAACACTAATTAAAAATCTCATTAGCATTTACTCATTTTATTTAACATAATTCTTAATTATAATTTTCTGACGCACTTTAACCAAAAATTAAGTAAGTGCATTAACAAATTATATACACAGACATTAACAATCTATTTCTTAATTTTATACATAATTATTAATTGAAATAAAATATTGTGAATCAAGTAGTTCAATAATATTAAAATAATAATAATAATAAATTATTATTATTAATAATTAATTAATTAATTGGTAAAAAAGAAACCTAATCGTTTTTAAGATTTATAAAAGGGAAAACTAAACATTAGTCTAAAAATAAAATAAATTGGAACATTACTTTTGGATTTTTTTAGCTTAATTTGATATATATATATATAT